TGTTCCGCCGGGAGGTGAAGATGAACGAGTGGGATCGGAAGTGAAACAAAGACCTCACCATCGAGAAAACCACCGGCTACTAGCAATTTTCAAGCGAATCGGCCATCACTCCTACTCTCTCGTGCAATTCAAAAGTCGGACACTGTGGGGTACACTCTAAGAAAGAGTCAAAAATGGGGAATAACGAGAGACCTCTTTTAGCTTAGCCAAGAACGGTAAGCCAATTAGCTATTGTATTTCACGGAGCGGAAAGTGAGATTCCCGATCAAAATTATTTACCCACCTGTGAAGTGAATGCGTACGTGGTTAACGAAAGTTGCAGCTGCCTCACTACAGGTGAAGTATATTTGGCAGTTACTTCGAATAGTGAAGTTGGCTTTCCAAGGGGAGCTTGGAAAAGGAGAGTCTTACATTGCTTGTTTGATCCTGTTGAGTGATTCGTCCAGCACCCACGATACTTCAGGCCAATTTATTTATCTGGGCTCTCATCAGGATTTGAAGTCATTCTGAGTTTATCAGGACTTACAGCTTCTCCGACAAAGGTTTCAGAAGCAGTACTGATCATGAGTCATTAGACAACCAAAAGCTAATGATAACCAAAGCCAGCTGAATTATGACTTTCATGATCCGCTTTGGAAATCCTCGCTACACCACAGATAACATGGTTTTACTTTTGCTGAACCGTTAGTCAGCATGAAACTTTCTACCGTAATCGTATCGTATTGTTGAGTGGTTCCAGTGACAGTGTGGTCTGAGTTTCGATACTGATCGAACGACGACACTCGAACCTGATTTATGCGATCACTAGAAAAGAAAGCGACAATTAATGACGACAGATCGACTAACCGTTAAAGCGTCGCTACGAATACCACCCATACCACTTAAAGACTTCGAATTAGCTCGCTGTAAATGGCAATTACGATGGGCACAGTGACTCCAAAGGGAAGGGATATGCATGGCGCACATGGTGCAAAGCTAAGCAAGCCGAAAAAAATCCTTGAACAAGTCACCAAGTTGCATTTTCAACAGTCATAGTTCTGTGCAGTTTGCGGTGGTAAGGGCAGCGGCGGCTGTCGGGCTGGTGGCCGGTGCCGTCGATTACCACAAGCGCAGTGAAACCCACGAACAGGCTCCCGCCCAGGCCATTCAAGCCTTCTGAAATTCGGGACTGTGAATGGTTGCAGATTCATAACACGAACCTGCTCAGACTGGTCCCTGCAGTATACTGAAGGGAACCACTACCATTCTGAATGGGAAAACAGAACCGTACCTCATCCAAGAGGGGAGCTCGGCGAGGCCAAAGGAAATCCTTTTTAGTCTATCAAGCGGGCTGTGATCAAGAGGACACATGAAAAGGATCAGGTATAACGCTGATATTTATTATCAGATATCTCTGCCGAAGCTTTGGAATGGCATGTCATAGGTATGTTTCTTGATTTGCAGGCTCTGACGAAGGCGAAGACGCTGAAACGTTGCCCTTTGTTGATAAAGATTCATACGAATCTCGGACAACTTAAATAAATTATTTCTGTGTGGTCGATATTTAGCTGGACAGCCATGCCACATCATGACATCCTTCGCTCTTCGCTTCGTGGATTCTACCAAGCCTTCAAATCTGTTCGTGGATATTCGCTTGCATTTCAAAGTGCACGAGACAGCTCGCCCTTCATGATGGATTTCTTAACTTTGAGTAGCGTGGCAGGATCTCCCGAGTCTCGATGACTTTAACTCCGTCGCTTCATCACAGCGATGCTGACTTTGAGGTGCCAGAACCAGTTCATTTAAAGGCGCGGTCCGCGATAAACTAAGGCTATAACCTCTCGAACGTGCACGATGACGAGGTAGGCACCCGCAGAGGCTGTACTACTATATGCAAAGTTAAAAACTTGCAACCAGAGCGCAGGGCACTTCGGTTTCAGGCCCATCGGCGCCCAATAGGCCCATGCCGGCCTCCGATGCCTGCCATTGCGCTCTTTTGCCCGTCGTTTTTCCTGGCCTCTCTCGTCTCTTATCAGTGTATCGCCGCCTTTTGCAATCACAATTGATCTTGACCATCCTTACGCTCGTCCGGTGATCATGATCAATTGCAATAAAGAGGGTCTTATTGCGGGCGGTTTTTCGTGCTTCCTTCTTCTTCAATAAGTCAACAAGCACACGGCAATTCTATTTTTGAACTGTATTACCTATAAAGTGCGGTCGCAGGAATGCGTGTAATTCAGTGCCTGCTAGAGCCTTTTCCACTGCTTTGGAAATGAATTTTCTTGGCCCACCCCATCTATCAAGGAAATAGTTCATGCTCAACTTTCTATCTATAAAGGAAATAGGGCATGCTCATATTGAAGAAGTCAGGTGGCGACAGAACCATGTAAGTTTCTTGAAGTGGTTCATGTTTTTTTTCTACTGTGATATCTTATCTTGTTGCACTACAGTCTCCCATGTGTACTCGCTTTAACACGTCCAGGGCTCAGTGTCGGCACTTACACTGGAATCTCTTGAAAGGGTTCCTAGGCAGAACGCCTCTTTGTTGAAATAGGGCGATCGCAAAAGCGCCGCAGTGCCACCTGCACTAAAGTGTTCGCTCAATGTTTCTCTACCAGCTGTCCTGAGTAGGGTACGATGGTCGCAATGCGAAACCGCCAAAAGACATCTGTATCAATAGAATGCATGGCAACAACGTCACTGATTTCGCGCATCTTTGAGCAAAGATACAGAGGGTGAGGGCAAAAAACGACGCTCCACCCAGAGTTGCACCGTCAGAATGTACGTCGCACAAGGTGCAACAAGGTCCAAAGTTTCATGAGACAGAAATCTTCTATTTCTGTTCCATTTTTATGAAAATTTTTTCTTTTCTTTCGCTTCCGGAGCAACAAACAGAATTTTCCTTTTTTCTGACAACAGGACAAGCCACTGCATCGTACGAGAAGGAGCAAGCCTCCACCGTACATTCAGCAGCGAGCATACTATGAGTCACCACCCGCCCGATGACTTATAATATCCGCCCTGAAGTCTGAGGCCGCCTACTTGATTTTAAAGGTTGAGGCAATCTCCGCACAGGTTCGTTCTGAAAAGCCATTCTGGTCAAGGCACTGATTGCCCAGGGATTCGAGCTACTTCGCTAAAATTCACGAGTTGCTTCGTGACTCGACCTTCAGATGTAGTAGTGAAGACTCGTTTATCACTAAGCTCCATAATACTCAGCGTCCTGCCATGTGGGAGGTAAATGGGTTCGCAGCTGCATTGAGTGCCACCTTCCACGGTAGTGATCCCCGGATTTCCATGCCTTCGTCAGCTTGCTGCACAGCCAGCCACATGGTGACTGGCTGTGCAGCAACGCTGACGGAGCATGGAAGTGGGTAGCCTCAACCAGAGGTGGCTAAACTCAACCAAACGCGCTACTTGTCTGCGCCTTGTCAGTTCTGGGTTGCTCTATACCGCTGAGTTTCTGTGCGGAACCTTGCTATCGAAGCAAGGGATATGTGACAAGAGAATCGTAATTCGCCGCTCTGGTGGGCGTCGCGTGCGACGTCACGCACGCAAACGACGATGGTTTCAGTAGTAGACGGCGGCAACAGGCAAAACTGAAAATAGTCATGAATGTCTACGATGGCGGGGTCTGCATGAAATCCGTGCTCCAGTTGACAGCTTGACACGAGTTAAGAAGAACGCCGCATCCATCGCCGGAGCGGCAAATTAAGATGCTCCTGTCCGTTTCCCCGAAGCAAGTGCTGCTCATTGAGGACAGCGCGGCAGAGTACGGAGACGGCACACGGGTACCTTCACCCTGCAGTCCCGTTCTGGTGTACTACGAACAAAGAAAATGGCACGCCACTGTAGCTACAGACCCATTCACCGCGCACATGGGGCCATCTTTAGAGAACGTACAGTTCGCTTTCGAGTGTGTATCGCAGTGGCGCCCGTTTTATGGATTTTCGAATTGCTGGGATTGGGACCTGTGGCCCCATTTGAATGACCAGCTTCGATTCACCCCAATACCATGCAAAAGCTGGAAGGAACACACTCCATAAGCGATTTTTTTCTGTTTTTCTCTGAATTTCAAGCTCCCCGCTACCACTGCATCATCATGAGCTCACTGCATACATGGAATCAGAGCTTCAGAAGTTTCTCATCTATATTTTGTTTCCGGAAATCTTGATGAGGAAGTGATGGCGCCAGATCGTGCCTGCACTTCTCACAGGATCGATCCTCACTCAGGTCAACTGAATCATGTGATCGAATGCCGATTAAACGGTACCACATTTGCTTGGGAGGGTGAAAATGCAGGCAAGAGCATCTGCTTTTTTGCAAACACAGCACCCATAGAAGTTTTGACCTGAAACAAACAGTCGAAGCTCGAACAGGGCACATCATTGGTTGGGGATTTTAGTCGAGTCCGTACGACCCCCCCCTTTTTTTTAGTTCGGTACGACCCCCCTCCGGCCCTCTGTCCCTCCTCATTCAATCGAGCAGTCGAGCGGGGAACAGAAAAAACCGCGGGACAATACGACCCTCCTTCTACCAACTTTCAGAATTTCCCCAACTCAACGACCACTCCTACGAAGGTCAAAAAGGAAATACTACTACCCCCTCCTGGCGGCCGAATACGACCCCCTCCCGTTGGGGATTCCCCAACAACGATGTGCCCTGAGCTCGAATCACACCGTCTAATTAAGTCTTCTTCCCTTCATTTTAGGGAAATGCATCATTTGAACTCACTTTTTATCTAAAGAGGGCAACAAGTGGAAAGTAAGATTCGAAAAAAACATCAGGAAGTACCTTGCAAGAATGTTTATCGCAAAATAAATGAATGATTAAACAACACTATATACAATAATCACAGGGATAAATTGAATAATAAGCCTATAATAAAAATACATTTAAAAGTACCAAAATAACAATACAAATCGGATCCGTCTCATGGTCTCAAGAACTTGGTGCAAAATATACATGCGAATGCACATTAGTGCTCTAGAAACTTTTCAAAATAAATTGCTGGCAGATTATTAAACAATGTATCCATCGCTACAGATTACCCATTCGTGTGCTGATTCGATCCGTTCTTTCAATTTGGAGCATCCTTCATTACCTGACCATGGACCACTGTGATCGTAAGAGCTGCGATCTGTCATCGTTGCGAGGCCAGAGTCAAAGAATCCAGGAGAAGCGACAACCTGAGCATGAAAAGCGTAATAAAGGCTCTCCAATCATGATCTCTAATGTGGTTGCTAACCTACCGTATTCTCTCTTGAGGTGGGATAAGTTCCTCGTTCAATGCAAAATGGTGAACGATTGACATCATCGGCGGGTGCGACGTTTCCATATAACGGCTGAGCACGGGTGGAATACCCTGATGACTGGAAACAGAGTGGAGACGGAAGGGAACCTTCCATGATATTCGTGACGGGATTTGGATACTGAGGTGACGGGTAAGTCGACCCGAACGCCGCTACGGAATGAGGGGTACTGGAGTGATTGTAAGGAGAGGAAACCGAGCATCGCGTCGGTGTCGACTGAGTGGATTTCGGCGAATTCATGGAGGAATGAGGACCACGAGAGTTCCGCATATGTCTTGCCATCAACACTTTGGCGCACTAAACAAGAAGAGTGAGTTCAATGCAAAGGCAATTTCTTGAGTGAAAAAGGTGAAGTGTTCAATAAACCCTATAAACCTACCTTGAAGCTTGGTGAAGAGGAAGAAGCAAATATTTCTCCATTGTTTGAATACAGCTGGACGCGAAGGTTATCACCGGAGACAAGCAATGCCGCAACATCTTTGCTGTTGTTCACGAGTGCCGTATCATAGGGCGTTTGATACTGAATACAACAAATTAGGAAGAAAACGCTTGAGAGTGTCGCTTTAGAGTGTTAGAGTTTAGAACGCCACACACAGGTCACTGATCTCACGTAGTTAGAACAAGATCCTACTATATATAATTCGCTAAGTGTGTCTGTGTGTGTGGTGTTTGTGTGTCACGAAAATTCATAACACCTGTCCCAGCGGCAGAGAAACGTTGATTCCAGGAAGTGATGGAGGGGTGTGACGGGAACACCATTGGTGGGTGACAGGATGTGATATCAGTTGATAAGATTCGATAAGAGGCGTTCAAAGGGGATGGTCACCCAGTCCATAGTGCGGGCCACAGCAGCAGTGGAACGTGGTTCCGAGCAGTGAAATAGGGAGTGGGACGAAAACATCATTGGTAGGTGACAGGATCCTACTATATATAATCCGCTATGTGTGTGTGTGTGTGTGTGTGTGTGTGTGTGTGTGTGTGTGTGTGTGTGTGTGTGTGTGTGTCACGAAATTCATAGCGAGCGTCGCAGAAAAGATAGGATGACAGTTCCAAGAAGTGATATACATGGCAGGACGGGAACACTTTTGGTGGGTGTCAGGAGGTGATAACACTTGATAAGATACGATAAGGGGCCGTAGAAGGGGAGGGTGACTGAATTCGTAGCGCAAGTTGCAGCAGGTGTGGGACCGTGATTTCAAGAAGTGATATACATGGCAGGACGGGAACACTTTTGGTGCGTGACAGGAGGTGATAACACTTGATAAGATTCGATAAGGGGCCTTAAAAGGGGAGGGTGACCGAATTCGTGGCAAGTTGCAGCAACGGCGGGACCATGATTTCAAGTACTGATATGCCGTAGGGCGGGGCTGGCGAAGATGAGTAACAATTGAATACAGATCCGATAAGGGGCCTCGGAAGAGGAGGGTCATCAAATTCGTGGCGCAGGTTACAGCACAGTGGGAACTCAGGTCCCGTGAGGTGATATAGGGTGTGGGACGGAACATTAGGTATGCGGCGCGAAAGAACGGTGATAACAAGTTGATAAGATACGGTAAGCGGCCTCGGAAGGGGAGGGTCATCAGATTCGTAACGCAGGTTACAGCAACAGTGGGACCTCTGATCCGAGAGGCGATACAGGGTGATATGATAGTGATACGGGACGGGAGTGTTATTGGCGGGTACGGAAGTGATAGGAGCTAAAATTGACAAGGTAGCATGGAAAATCCGCTCCACCGCTCACACAGCAATCAATGGCGCTCAGATATGACTCAAGTATAACGATCTCAGTGATTCCAACAGAACTCATTCCTCACTGCTTATTAGTAACGACATGTGTACGACCGCTAAGCCAGCTCTATTCCAAATGCATGTGGTTTGTTTACAGAGATGTTATGAACAGCAGCAACTGACTTTATCACTCTTACCACAATTATCTTCCATCAGCAACTTCAGTGAGGGCCATTTAAAGGGTTCCACTGCTGAATGCGGTAGTGCATTCCAAAGCAAGACGCTTTAGGAAGACAGATTGCATAAATTATAGGCTGCTTCAGTGGCTGTCCAAACAGGCTGCACTATTTCCGTGTAGGTTATGAACGTACCAGTCGGATCGCTGGCTAAGGCCGGCTTTCCTCCTTCTGTGATGCGGGGGGGGGGGGGGGGCTGCTGCTGCTGGTTCTGCGCCTGGGCTGATGGCAACAGCGCTACTTTTCAGTTCTTGGCTGATGCAGAAGATTCCTTTGAACAGTGTGGTTGGTCAACGATCCTTAACTTAGCACGCGGCAAATCCGCATGGCCCGGCGAAGCCGGGCCATGTCACAGAAGGAGGAGCGCCCGGCGACAGCCGGGCGATCCGACTGTGAGTGCTAAACAGCTGACAAGGATCTGATAATGGGCAATTAGAAGGGAAGGCAAATTCATAGTGCGGCTCACAGCAGTGGTTTCCTTGAAATCCAAGAGGTGAATTAAGGGTGTGGGACGGGAACATTATTGGCGGGTGACAGAAAAAGATAACAGTTGATAAGATACGGTAAGCGGCCTCGGAAGGGGAGGGTCATCAGATTCGTAACGCAGGTTACAGCAACAGTGGGAGCCGGGGCCGCTCGATCCGATATAGGGGTGGATAATAATAGTGATACGGGACGGTGATAATATGTATTGCGGGTACGGGGAAGTGATAGGAGCTAAAATGACAAGGTAGAGAGATGGAAAAGACCCCGCTTCAGTCGCTCACAACCAAGCAATTCGCTCGATATGACTCAAGTATACATGGGGGATCTTCGTGATTTCCAACCGAACTCATTCCTCACTGCTTAAAATAGAACGACATCATGTACAGAACCCGATGCACGCTCTATTTCCACAATGCAGATGTGGTTTGTTTACAGAGATGTTATGAACAGCAGCAACTGACTTTATCACTCTTACCACAATTATCTTCCATCAACAACTTCAGTGAGGGCCATTTAAAGGGTTCCAGACCAAACTGCTAAGATCGGAGAGTCCAAAAGCGAAGACGCTTTAAGAGGGCGGAATTTATGAACAGCTGCTTTACGCTAACGCAAGACAGGCTGGCATCCACCCGTGGTAGGTTATGAACGTACCAGTCCGATTCGCTTGGCTAAAGCCGGCCCTCCTCTCCTTCAGTGAAGCTGCGGGCGCTGCTGCTACTGCGTCTTGACGGAATGGGCGCGGGGCGCTGCTTTTCAGTTCTTGACTGATGCAGAACATTCCTTTGAACAATGCGGTTGAGGTCAAACGACCGTAAAATTAGCACGTCGACGGCAGCAAAATCCCGCATGGCCACCTTCGAAACCGGGCCCATATCACAGAAGGAGGAGCCGTCCGCGGCGACAGCACGGGGCCAAAGGATGTGCGCGGACTGCGGTACTGTGGGGTGCGTAAATAGGAAGAATAGTGTGGGGTTCTTATAAACTGTCAACTATTCAGCTGAAAGTGGCCCAGAAATGCGCATAGTACGACTGCTGTAGTAGCTTACACAATATTGTGGAGTACTAGTTGGAGCCGCGACAAACCCAACCTCCAATATCTTCAACTACCGGAGGTCGAATTTCGAATGGTAACACTGCCTAATAACAAAATCATAACAAATCTCAGTCACTAACCTTATCATTCCTCAGCATCACACTTGCACCGACTTTCAGAAGCTCTTTCGCAGGTTCCACATGGTTTTCCGATGCAGCCAAATGCAAAGGAGTACAACACTAAAAATTGTCGATTGCAAGTAGAGCAAGTCGTGAATAAAAAGTGTTCGTCAACCTCATAATCCTGACAGTCCTTGTTCGCATTCTTCTCTAACAGAAAGGCTACAACTCGAGGGTTATTGTACTTTGCAGCAAAATGAAGTGCTGTTCTTCCTCTCCATGTGGTCAAACTCTGAAAACCAAGACTCCTTATTAGAACATGTAGGGACCTGGTGCTGAGGAAAAATGGAAGCTTTGTGAGATGCGCATTTCCATTTCACTTTGAAATGCAGAATGTAGGACGTATTCTTTTCCTAGGCAAACATTCTGATGGCAGATGGCTGTAGCTGCCCCTACAACTAGTTTCGAGTCAATTCATCGAATATGGGCAGATGAAGGTACCTGCTCGCCTGAGCGAATGAATTCGCACGACCCCTGCCAATCAAGTATGGCATCTCTATTTGCTAAAGCAAGTTAGAATGTTTACACAGAAAAGTGGCGTAGAAAGGGCACCAACGGGAAGAGTAGATTAATCCTGCCTTTCCGATGTGGGATCCAAGCCTTCCATCAATCCGGGATCTTTTGAAGACAAACTGTACACTCATAACCGTGGACCCTAGTCCGAGCCGTGTGGGGGAGAATGGATCCGCAGGAGCAGTAGCGCGCCATTTTCCAAAACAATAGGACGAGGAAACAGGGCTGGAGGGGTGTGAAACCCCTGTGCTAACTCCATACTCCGCCTCGCGCTGGTCGCGGCAAACCAAGCACCTCCCATAGCGAAAGGCGCTACTTTTCCGCGCCCTCTCGCTTCTGGTTGTTCCCTACCTCAAAACACGAGATTCGTTGCGGGACCTTGGCACCGACGCAAGTGCTGCACTTTGAAGACAGTGCGGGCGAGTATGGAGACGACATTCGGATATTAGTAGCCTACAGCCCCGTTCCCGAGCACTTTTGAGCCAATCAAGTGGCACGCTACTGCATCTGAGGAGGATTTCGCTTCGCACATTGGAAGACACGTCTTCAGAGGTGGTGTCCAGTTTGTCTGTAATTGCACCTGACAAGACAGTTCAGATCGGCTAGCCCT